TCTATTTATCATCCTCAGTCATTTGGGACAACATTGGATCATTCATAGATCCTCACTGAACTTCTGGACTGAGTTTGCTGCTCTGAAAGTAAAGGGGCCCGATAATATTGCACGCCCCACTTTTCAGTTTTTTATTTGTTAAAAAGTTTGACACATCCAATAAATTTCGTTCCACTTCACGATTGTGTCCCACTTGTTGATGATTCTTCACAAAAAAATTAAATTTTATATCTTTATGTTTGAAGCCTGAAATGTGGCAAAAGGTTGAAAAGTTCAAGGGGGGCAAATACCCAGGTTGCTCTGATAGTGGCCTTCAGCTCTTCTGAATTGTTGGCTCTGGTGTATCACATCTTCCTCTTCACAATACTCCATACATTTTCTATGGAGTTAAGGTCAGGCAAGTTTGCTGACAAATTAAGAACAGGGATACCATGGTCCTTAAACCAGGTACTGGTAGCTTTGGCACTGTGTGCAGGTGCCAAGTCCTGTTGGAAAATGACATCTGCATCTCCTTAAAGTTGGTCAGCAGCTGTCAAGTCATGATTGTGTAGCTACAGAACTAGACTGAGACCATTTAAAGGCCTTTGCAGGTGTTTTGAGTTAATTAGCAGATTAGACTGTGGCACCAGGTGTCTTCAATACTTTGAACCTTTTCACAATATTCTAATTTTCTGAGAGACTGAATTTGGGGTTTTCATTAGTTGTCGGTTATAATCATCAACAATAAAAGAAATAAACATTTGAAATATATCAGTCTGTGTGTAATGAATGGATATACCGTATTTTCCGACATATGAGTCGCACCTTTTTGCCTAATTTGCATACCCTGCGACTTATGAATTTTCCCCCATATTTTTAACCCAATTTTTGACTGAGATATGACCATTCATTCTGACAAGAGCACTGCCTTTTTTGGCCACTAGAGGCGCTAGAGCTAGGCCTTTGACAACATTCATTCTGACATGAACCCAATTAAAAAAGAAGTGAAATATTTAGGAATTAATATTTCAAAAGATAAAAAATTAATTGAAGCCTCCAACATAGAAACTAAAATCCAGAGTAATAAAGTTATTCTCAACATTTGGCTCCAAAGAGATTTATCTTTTTTTGGACGTGTTCTACTCAGTAAAATAGAAAATTTATCTCTGCTTATTTACCCAGCTTATTCATTGCCCATATCTGATTAAATGATAAAGAAAATAAATCAGGACAATTTTACTTTCATTTGGAGAAACAGATGCCATTATATTAGAAGAGCTGATGTAAATCTTTAGAGGAAGGGGGGTTAAATATGATTAATGAGAAATTCAACCCTTATACCCCCCCCCCATACCAAGCTTATGTGTCAAACAGCAGTTCAGATTACCCACCCTTTTTGGAGCCCTTGGAGGGGGTACTGGAGAGTGCGCCTCCTGGGGACTCCCTTGTTCTACTGGGGGACTTCAACGCTCATGTGGGCAATGACAGTGAGACCTGGAGGGGTGTGGTTGGGAGGAATGCCCCCCCCTGATCTGAACCTGAGTGGTGTTCTGTTATTTGACTTCTGTGCTCGTCATGGACAATCCATGGCAAACACCATGTTCAATAATAAGGGTGTCCATATGTGCTATTGTCACAAGGACACCCTAGGCCGCAGTTCAATGATCGACTTTGATGTTGTCTCATCTGATCTGGGGCCGCATGTCTTGGACACTCAGGTGAAGAGAGGGGCAGAGCTGTCCACTGACCACTACCTGGTGGTGAGTTGGCTCCCATGGTGGAGGAAGATGCCGGTCAGACCTGGCAGACCCAAACATATTGTGATGGTCTGCTGGGAACATCTGGCAGAGTCTCCCGTGAGACGGAGCTTTAACTCCCACCTCCGAGAGAGCTTCAAACACGTTCCGGGGGAGGCAGGGGACACCGATACAGAGTGGGCCATGTTCCGTGCCTCTATTGTCGAGGTGGCTTATCGGAGCTGTGGCCACATGGTTGTTGGTGCCTGTTGCAGCGGTAACCCTCAAACCCGGTGGTGGACACCAGCGGTGAGGGATGCTGTCAGGCTGAAGAAGGAGTCCTATCAGGCCTTTTTGGCCTGTGAGACCCCAGAAGCAGCTGATGGGTACCGACAGTACAAGCGGCATGCGGCTCGAGTGGCTGTTGAGGAAAAACTCGGACATGGGAGGAGTTCGAAGAGGCCATGGAAAATGACTTCCGTACGGCTTCAAGGCGATTCTGGTCCACCATCCGGTGTCACGGGGGGAAAGAGGTATGCCACCAACACTATTTATAGTGGAGGTGGTGTGCTGTTGACCTCAACTCGGGATGTCGTGGGTCGGTGGGCAGAATACTTCAAAGACCTCCTCAATCCCACTGGCATGTCTTCCACTGAGGAAGCGGAACCTGGGGACTTTGGGTCGGGCCCTCCAATCTCTGGTGCTGAGGTCACCGAGGTGGTTAAAAAGCTCCTCAGTGGCAGGGCCCCAGGGGTGTATGATTATTTGCCCGGAGTTCCTTAAGGCTCTAGATGTTGTGAGGTTGTGTTGGCTTACACAACTCTGCAATATTGCGTGGACATCTGGGGCAGTTCCCCTGGATTGGCAAACTGGGGTGGTGGTCCCCCCTATTCAAAAAGAGGGACCGTAGAGTGTGTTCCCACTACAGGGGGATCACGCTCTTAAGCCTCCCTGGTAAGGTCTATTTGGGGGTTCAGTAAAGGAGGATCCGTCGCGACAGTCGAACCTTGGATTCAGGAGGAGCAGTGCTGTTTTCGACAATAAACAACTGTGTCATCAACATAGAAGTGTAAGGATGCTGTGACCTATATTACCTATGTAGATTGTAAAGAGGGTAGGTCCTAAGACTCAGCCTTGTGGTACACCATTGTTGACTTAAATAACTGGAGGAATTTTTTTTTCATTTAACCTTTATTTTTACAGGCAGTATCATTTAGTCACAAGAACTCATTTTCAAACGAGACCTGTTAAGGGAGCACATGGTGGGGGTTAAGGGCAGTGCTCAGGGGCCCAGAGTGGGGCGAATGAGGGTGTAGGCAGGTGTTTCACCTTTTCCACCCACATTATTTTCATGTTGACAGTACCGGGAGTTGAATCTGCGACTTTCCGATCACAGGCCCATCTTCTAACCTCTGCGTCACCACTCCCCCATAAATACCATTATGTTGAACACATTGCCTCTGATCTGAATGATAGTTAGAGAACCAACCAATGGTGTGATCTGAGAAACCAATTCCTGAGAGTTTATGACACAAGATGTCATGGTCCACAGTGTCAAAAGCTTTAGACGGGTCTAAGAAAAGTGCAGCACAATAATCCTTAGTATCCAATACTTCAACAATGATTAACACTTAAAAACAATTATTTGTTTGCTCGAAATTATATTAAATGTGCGTCTCAATCTAACATTTGCTTAATAAATGCACTATGATGGTCAAATCAGTTGTATTTCAAAACCTGATATGCGGAAGTAAACGCATACGTGCGACAAGTTGCTGTGAAAATGTAACAAGATAAACGCCTCAAAACAATTATTTGTTTGCTCAAAATTATATTAAATGTGTGCATCAATTTAACGTTTGCTTAATAAATGCACTTTGATGGTCAAACCAGCTGTATATCAAAACCAGATACGCAGAAGGAAACGCGTGCACGCGACGAGTCACTGTACAAATTTAGCAAGATAAACACCTAATTATTTTAATTGTTGTTTGCTCGAAATTATAGAAAGGTGTGTCTCAGTGTAACGTTTTGCTTAATAAATGCACTTCAATGGTCAAATCAGCTGTATTTCAAAAATAGTTTTGCTGCCTCTGTGCTCCGTGAATGCGCAGAGGGAGAAAAAAAATCAAGGAGGAATGCGGCTCGTTTCTCTGAAATTTAACAAGAAAAGCACCTAAACAATTATTTGTTTGCTCGAAATTATAGCAAAGTTGTGTCTCAGTCTAACATTTGCTTAATAAATGCACTTCAATGGTCAAATTAGCTGCATTTCGCCGGGGCGGTGCAGCTGTTTTGATGGTTCCAAACAATGAGCAGATTGAAGGTGGGGAAATTATGGCAGGCCGATTGAGTCATTAATAGCGGGTGAAGATTCTCAGTCATCCAGGACATGGTAAATTCAAACAAGTTCAAGAAAAAAAACAATTAAGTATAAAGTATAATAAATAAAGTCCAATTGTTTTTGTCTTGGGGCAGCACGGTGGCGCAACTGGTAGAGCTGCTGCCTCTCAGCGAGCAGGTCCCTGGTTCAAACCCCGGTCCAGGGGCCTTTCTGGGTGGAGTTTGCATGTTCTCTCCGTGCATGCGTGGGTTTTCTCCGGGTACTCCGGTTTCCTCCCACAGCCCGAAAACATGCATGTTAGGCTGATTGGTAACTCTAAATTGTCCCTAGGTGTGAGTGAGAAAGTGAATGGTTGTTTGTCTCATTTGTCTCTATGTGTCCCTGTGATGGACTTGCGACCCGTCCAGGGTGTACCCCGCCCCTAGCACAGTGATTGCTGGACATGGGCACCGGCGACCCCCGTGACCCGAAATGGAATAAGCGGGTAAAGAAAATGGATGGATGGATGTTTTTGTCTTGAACTTTTTTGAATTGTCATTATAGTCACGTTTACCTATTACATAATACAACAGTATGCCATATAACTATTACTACTCTGCTGCCATTAAGTGGCTGAAAGTGGTACTGCTCTTTTTTTCTTTCCAGGCAGAATGAACGAAAACGGTCATTTTCTCAGCCAAAAAATGTTTTATAAATATGGGAAAAAAATCCATAAAATGTTGCTTCGGTCTGTAAGTCACAGGGAATGTAAATTATGCAAAAAAAACCCCTGCAACTTATAGGCCGAAAAATACGGTAATAAACATGAGGGTTATGACGGGTCCCTGAAACTTTGTCTCCCCTGTAAGGGTCCCTGAACCAAAAAAGTTTGAGAACCCCTACGTTATAGTACCGGTACTTAAACTTAGAACAGTATAAAAATGAATATGCTCATTTAAAACTTACATCTGTCGTAGATCTTCAGGCACATCCAGTCTGATCTTAATGAAGGTGTTTTTAGTAGCTGGTTTATTTGGATTGACTGGCCGTAACCTCTCCAGTGTCACAATTTCATTTAATGTGGCATCACATGCAGCATACTCTATTACGTAAAACTAGAAACACAAGAAAATCAGGTTAAAATACTCCAACTGTAAAATATTAAACAAGAATGATAATAAAAACAGTAGCAATCAATACATGTCAGTACATGTCATAAAAATATTGAGAGGAAACATTTTTGTAAAAAGTGTAGGTAGAATTATAGCTTTCTGTTAAAATAGAAAGTTTGTTTTAGTCTACAGCCACTGAAATTCATGGAGTTCCTCAAGTATCCATCTTGAAGCAATTTTTATCGACAATGTGCATACAGCAGTCCCTCGTTTATCATGGGGAATCCATACCCCGAAGCCCCGCGATAAGTGAAAAACCGCATGTTTCTAAAAACTCTTTAATTTCTAGAAGAGCACAGAATGTCATAATTTCAGCTCCCTGCCTTGTCTGCTATTTGCCACCTGCAAGCGTTCTTGGCCACGCCCACTTCAGCGCTGTGCATGAAGAACAGATGATCAGCTGCAGCAGGAAACTTATCCTGCAGTATGGGCTGCACAAACGTGCAGCAGGTGCTAAATAATTTAAAACAGCTTATTTTAAATAAAAATTCCATGCTGATCGTGCAGCTCATCGATTAATCAGTCAAGTGTGTGTCATGACCAACCTTATTTTGAAAAATCGTGACAGAGCGAGTCCACGATAAACAAACCGTGACGTAGCGAGGGACTACTGTACTCATGAGCCATGTACTGTGCACGTACACGTGCTGGTCATAAAATTAGAATATCATGAAAACGTTGATTTATTTCAGTAATTCCATTAAAAAAGTGACACTTGTATATTATATTCATTCATTACACACAGACTGATATATTTCAAATGTTTATTTCTTTTAATGTTGATTATAACTGACAACTAATGAAAATCCCAAATTCAGGATGTCAGAAAATTAGAATAATACTTAAGACCAATTAAAAATGGTATTTTTAGAAATGCTGGCCAACTTTAAATTATGAACATGAAAAGTATGAGCATGTACAGCACTCAATACTAAGTTGGGGCTCCTTTTGCCAGGATTATTGCATCAATGCAGTGTGGCAATGAGTCGATCAGTCTGTGTCTCTGCTCAGGTGTTACGAGAGCCCAGGTTGCGATAGTGGCCTTCAGCTCTTCTGAATTGTTGGGTCTGGTGTATTGCATCTTCCTCTTCACAATACTCCATACATTTTCTATGGGGTTAAGGTTGGGTGAGTTTGCTGGCCAATTAAGAACAGGGATACCATGGTCTTTAAACCAGGTACTGGTAGCTTTGGCACTGTGTGCAGGTGCCAAGTCCTGTTGGAAAATGAAATCTGCATCTCCATAAAGTTGGTCAGCAGCAGTAAGCATGAAATACTCTAAAACTTCCTGGCAGACAGCTGCATTGACCTGGGACCTCAGAAAACACAGTGGACCAACACCAGCATATATCATGGCACCCTAAACCATCACTAATTGTGGAAACTTGACACTGGACCTAAACAACATGGATTCTGTGCCTCTCCTCTCTTCCTCCAGACTCTGGAACCTTGAATTTGAAGGAAATTACTTGGCTTTTATAAGAACACAGTGTGCTTGGCTTTTGCTTACAAGCCTAGATAAGGAAAACAATATGCACTCACTTTATGGTTTTATGTTTGGTCAACATTTTACTCAGAACCGCTCAAAAGTAGTTTAAAACTGGTCCAACCAAAACAGGAGTGCATGGGAGGGTCCGATACTCAAGGCAGAAGAGGGCAGGAAGGTGGTAACTAGTTCAACCAATACAAGAAGAACCCCTCCCTCAATGTTAATAGTTTCAACCAATTGGAATAGAATACACCCCAGAAAGAAGTATGACTAGGATAGCTTTATAATCCACTGCACGTGCTTACAGCTTCAGACAATTTGGGGTTTTCAGCTCGCTAGAATCCAGGTGACGTACTCATTTGATTGTCTCCCAAATGCATTTGGTTTTGATATTGTACATGTACTCTTTTAATGGTGTGAAAATGTGTTAAACTGAAGGTTAAGTCTCCTGAAGGTACCTCCTTGATCAACGACTCAGTAGGGTGAAGTTACCCCAACAATTTCTAAAGGAAATGCAAAATTTACTTTCACCAGAGAACATAACTTTGGACCACTCAGCAGCAATCCCAGACGAGATGCTTCTGATGCTGTCTCTTGTTCAAGAGTGGCTTGATGCAAGGAATGCAACAGCTGAAACCCATGTCTTGCATATGTCTGAGGTGGCTGTGGATGAATGGTTAGAACAGTTGTCCTCCAATGCAAGTGTTGGGGGTTCAAATCCACCAAGCTAAAGTGTCCTTGGACAAAACACTGAACCTCTCATTGCCTCCGATGGTGTATGAATGTGATCTAAAGCACTGATTAGTCTCTTTATAATGATTTGTTCAATTAGCTTTGTAGCGATCTAGTAGAGTGCTGCATGAATGGGTAAATGAGGCACAGATTGTAGTGTAAAGTGCTTTGAGTGTCTTGATAAGATAGAAAGGCACTATATAAGTGCAGTCCACTTACCATATGTCTGAGCGTGGTGGTTCTTGAAGCACTGACTCCAGATGTAGTCTACTCTTTTTGAATCTCCCCCACTTTTTGGAATTGGTTTTGTTTCACAATCCTCTCCAGGGTGCGGTTAACCTATTGTCTATACACGTTCTACCACAGCTGTTCCTTCCCTTTGTAGTGAACTAGGCCTACGACCAAAACCTGCCTCTGAAGACCTTCATGGGACAGGAACTGTTATTTCATTGATTTGAATCCAGAAATACAAATTAGCTCATCCAGAGACTGTCTAATTGTATCCTGAAGTAATCAATTGAAAGAACACTCTTCTTTTTATATTATCATTACTATTTTACAATATCTTGATAAATTAAAAGTGTGTTTAGTTCATACCATTTCTAAATGTTGAACCACTCATTTTAAATAAACTGTGAAACAGTATTAATGATTATTTTTTTAATCCTCGTTTAAATTAGAAATCAAGTTAAATGTCTATTTACAAAGTAATTATGCATTTTGATCTTCTGTCTGAATGAGAAGTAGTGATGTCGGTCAAAAGTCAGAGACAGTCAGAAAGAAGATATTAGAACAAAGTGTATTGTTTTTAAACCTAGCAGACAGTAAAAAGAGCAACTGGCACCTGCAAAGTTTCTCACTTCCTCAAAACATTTCCCTGTCTGCACTAAACGTTCCTAAACATTCTTGCACTCTCTGTGACTTTTAATAACCCTCTGACATCATTAGAACCACCCCCTGTTGGTTGTTTCAACCAATCAGGAAGTCCTGAAGTGACCGGAAGTGAGAACTCTTTAAAAGTCCATACTTCCTGGAACTTCTAGTCTTCAAGTCTGTCTTCTAGTCGAGTTGGGGTCTGGTGAGTCTTCTGAATCTTTGATGGAGTCTTCCACTCCTGAGTGGAAACTCTGCCGGACTGACAGCTTGCTGTGTATCCACGTGTTTGTTGAACGGAGTAAACGACATGACTTCTGACGATGGCCAGCCGCTCTTACCGGAGACGCTGGAAGGTAGCGTTGAAATGGACCCAACACCGGAGCTGAGTTTTCTTCTGCAAAGGTAACGAGTCGTGACGCGCCAAGTGTACCGAAGGTTTGAGCTAGTGTTGAAAGGAGCGTGCCATCCTGGTCCGAACAGACACCCCCTTTTCCCATCTTTTCTCTTCATCCCTTCCTTTAAAACTCTTCTATTTTGCCAGTAATCTAAATGCCTTCAGAAATGTCTTGTTGTCTTATTAGTAAAGCGTGCCAAGTTTTATTAATCAGAAACAGATCAGCTAATCACGTGTACATGTTTTGATGTTAAATTTTGATTCTGTTCAATAAATGACCACATTTATTCTGATGGGTCAAAGGAAATTAACGTCTCGTGTCACTGATTTAAACAATCATCACAGTTATCTCGTCACATGGCAGAAATTTAACTCGAAAGAGAGAGAATCCGTTATATTTAAATAATTAGTAGTGAAGGTGCAGCAAAGCTGGCTCTGACACCACTACATCTTCACCTCTCTGTCTGTGTGCTTGGACACAGAGCTCTGTGAACAGCCAGCCTCTTTAGCAATGACCTTTTGTCCTCCTTGTGCAAGGTGTCAATGTTCGTCTTTTGGACAACTGTCAAGTCAGCAGTCTTCCCCATGATTGTGTAGCCTACATAACTAGACTGAGACCATTTAAAGGCCTTTGCAGGTGTTTTGAGTTAATTTGCAGGATTAGAGTGGCACAAGGTGTCTTCAATATGGAACCTTTTCACAATATTCTAATTTTCTGAGACTGAATTTGGGGCTTTCATTAGTTGTCAGTTATAAACATCATCATTAAAAGAAATAAACCTTTGAAATATATGAGTTTGTGTGTAATGAATGAATATAATATACAAGTTTCACTTTTGGAATGGAATTATTGAAAGAAATCAACTTTTTCATGATATTCTAATTTTATGACCAGCAACTGTACATGTCAATTTATTGTTAGTGAATTCACAACCTCTCTTTAAATAAGAAGCTGTATGCGTCACTTCAAATACATTTGGATGTAGGTGGTGTGCTGTAGCAAAGCTTTGAACCAAACTAAGTAGTTCATAAAAAGTTGCAAACAACATATGACAACAAAAACTATTTTTGGTTTTAACGATATTAAAATAGATAGAAAAAAAAATCAGCTTGTCAAGGCAAGCTAGGACCCAGAAGTCAACCTAATGAACATCACAGGACAGTAACAAGCTTATTGATATCTCAAAAGGTAGCTTCGGGTGTCACCAATCCAACACTTCACATGCAGACCAGACTCCTCCTCAGGTGCTTCATAACCAATAACTAACTTGGTGTTGTAAAAGTTTATCTCCCTCCCTCCCTCTCCCTCTCTCTCTCTCTCTCTCTCTCTCTCTCTAGACACACACATATAGAGTAGACCCTCGTTTAATCACGATAGATCCATACCCTGAAGTCCTATGACAAGTGAAAAACCGCAAAGTAGGAACAGTAGTACAAGTAGCAAGTAGTAGT